CCCCAAACCCCACCCCCTACCCCCAAATATAATCCACTCTCTGTTTATTTTCTTGAAAGTCCATGTTGTGTTCAAACTTCTTTAGCACTACGATTCAAAGAAATCTATTCTTCCTTTGTCATGCTTAGTCATTATCCAATTATGAACAATAGAGCAGACATGAATAGGGGTACCTTACACTGTCCATTTACACTGAGCAAATCATTTGAGAAACTGGACTTTATTAAAGAGGATGTGAGTTTAATGTCAGAGGAACACTAATCAACATCTTGTGTTATGAAGATGCCATAAACTTGCTTGCTAGAAGTGAGAAGGATCTGAAATACTTGCTGCAGAAAATCAAAGAATAAAGCCTTCAATATGGGTCACCACCTCTCAACATCAAGAAGACAAAGATCTTCACTACTGGACCAATAAGCAACATCATGATAGATGGAGGAAAGACTGAAATTGTCAACAATTTCATCTTCTTGTATCTACAATCACCACCCTTGCTACCAGCATTCTAGGAAAGTCTGCAGTCCAGGATCTCTCTAAACTTCTGAGGTGCATTGATGTCCGTTTGAAGACTAAGATGCGCCTAATTCAGATGATGGTCTTTTTTTGTCCCTTGCTGTGCATCTGAGAACTCAACAATGAATAAGGATGACAGAAGAATAATTGATGCCTTTGAGTTGTGGTTTTGGATAATAGTACTGAATATCCCATGAACTGCCTGAAGAACAAACAGTTATATCTTGGAGAAAGTGTAGAGTGTTTCTCAGAAACAAAAATAACAAAGCTTCATCTCACATACTTTGGCCTTGTTACTAGGAAAGGCTGTTCTTTGGAGAGGGATATTATGCTTGGAAAGGTGAAGGGTCAGCAAAAAAGGGGGAGGCCCTCAATGAGATGACTTGACACAGTGACTGCAACAATGGGCTCAAGTGCATCAGAGATAGTGAGGATGACATAGGACAGAACAGGGTTCAGATCTGTTGTCCGTAGGGCCACTATGAGTTGTATTTGACTCTCCAGCACCTTAACAACAACAACTACTACTTTACTGTTTGTCTTCTTAGCTGTCAACATTTTGTACTATATCCCTAGGAAGTAATAAAAACAAATAGAAGTATAAATGTGGGAAAGCAGACTTTAGACGGTTTGTAAAACAACCTGCTGACTGTCACATGACTAGGGAGGAACACGATTGGGTTTGCAAGTGGACTCTGAAACATGCCAACTGCCCTTCCTCCCCCGTGTCGGTCTTTGCTCAGTGGCCAGCCAGAGCTCAGAAAGCTTGTTCTTGTCCTGGCTCCTGGGAAGCCTGTGGTAGATCGCTTTATGTTTCTAGACCATCATCTTACTAATTTTGTGATGTGATTTCCTCACTTCTGCTTTGTTCCTAAGAGAGAAAGCATGAGGGGAAAAAATTGAATCATAAAGTAAAATCTCATTATAAAAGGCCTCAGTGGTCCACATATTGGGTTATATGTTTAGGGCAAATGGTTTTTCCTCAATACAGTGAAGTGTGTGGTGCCCTAGTCTTTCTGATTATAATAGAGAAAATCTAATGTAAGTTAAAGTCTCATCAGCAGACCCCAAGCTGTACATAATAATGGAATTTTCTTCTCAATATGGAAATTTTTTAAAACTTTTCATGAGAGAATGACTACATCTGTTACATTATATGCTCTCTTTTTAAAAAATTTACATTTCAAGTGAAAGAAAGCCTATCGTAGTTTCCTTTCCTTTCCTGTGAACTATTGAATATTAAGTGTGTTCATGGATAGGATTTGGATCTGGTGTCTTAATTCCAGTGGTAGCTCGTACCAAGTGGAGTCTCCAGTTGGCTGATGTGAGCAATTTTTTATGAATTTCTCATATGCTCTGTTTCTAATATAGTTAGACAGTGTAGTAAGAATGGGAAATGTTCACAAAAATGCTTAGGAGGTGAATCTTCTAAGTCTTATTTAATCTCTTTTTGAGGAATGATTCACTAATAGTAACCCTATAAATGTGGCATGAATAGGATGTAGGGCCTTTAAAGGCTTTTATTCATGTTTAGCTGGCTCAGCTGGTGGTGACTCAAACATGGAAAAGCATTTTTGCCATGTATCTAAGTGGTAGTTTTCTGTGTGAGGTCACTTATTTGGATCAAACTCAGCAGGTATACAGTGGAAATTTAGTGCACTTAGATGTTCACTGAAAATAAGAACATGAAATTACACAACTCCTTGAGACAATTTTTTGAGATTAGCCTAGCCTTAGAGAAAACTCAACTTCTTACTTTTCCACTCACTCTGGAGAAGCAAGGAGCCCTGGTATCACAGTGCTTAACCTGTCAAGCTGGTAACTGAAATGTTGTTGGTTCAAATCCACTAGCCACTCTGTGAAGTTGGGTAGTCTCCTCCGCTATCGATTTACAGCCTCAGAAAGCCAAAGGAAGGTTGCTCAGAGTTAGATGGAGTTGGACTCCATTCCGTGGAAATGGACTGGATTTGGGAATAAGTGCTTTTGCATGGTGTTCTGGACTAGCCTTCAACTCCTCCTGGGCACTTCCTCTCTAACAGAAATGAGGTGGGGAAATTTAATGACTGTGGGAAGGCTCAGAGTAAAACCGCATCACCCTGAATGGTCCTGTGGGAGATGTTTTCCACCTTGCCTGTGAGTGCAGTACAGAGGGTGGGCATGCAGAGTCACTGCCCTTGTGCTACTGTTTTCTTGTGAGTTGCTTTCAAGTTGACCCTGACTGGTGGTGGCCCTGTGTACAACAGAACAAATTCTACCCAGTCTGCACAGTCTTCATGATTTCCGCAGTACTTAAAGCCAGTGTTGCAGTCACTGTGTCATTGCGTCTTGGTGAGGGTCTTCCTCTCTTTCACTAACCTTCTCCTCTTCGCAAGCATGGTTGTCTTTTCCCAAGAACTGTGCAGTACTTTTTGTATTTGGCTGTAGAGCTGCAAGAGATCATCAACAACCTCTAGTTTTGGTTCTTCATTCAGCTTACATATGCCAGATGCTCTCTATTTCTTTCTTTGAATGATCTCTCATCTAGCTGATCAAAAGCCCCCTTACTGGAAATTCATGGTGGTAAGAAGCTGTGCTGCAGACCGAAAGGCATGCAATTCAAATATACCAGCTACTTCTCAGGAGAAAATGAGAAGTCGCCTCCCTTGTGATTAATTGCCTCTGAGAAACCACTGGAGGGTCAGGAAGGGTCAGTTTCAACTCGATGGTACACAGCCACCACCACCACTTTGGCCAATATGGCAATGAGAATCAGTTAAGAACCACGGTATTCTTTTAGTCAGTATTTTCCCACTCTTCCCTCCTTATGGATTTCTAGATATACTGAATGAGTTATTATTTTAACTTTTTAACTATATGGTTTTATGTATTTTTAATCCAGTTCTTGTATCTTCAAGTGGCAGGACAGCTTTGCAAATGAGCCGAGACCTTTCTATACAACTCCCCCGGCCAGACCAAAATGTGGCAAGAAGTCGGAGCAAGACCTATCCTAAGAGAATCGCACAAACCCAGCCAGCTGGTAAGTCATGGTACTCATGAATCATCAAGTGCAACCCTGTAGTTCCTTTAGGTTGATGGTATGAGATGTGTTCAGGTGGTGATACCAACACTATGATGTTTTTGTTTTGATATTATTATTAATGCTAGAATTTTTTCAGTTGATGCTGAAAATCACCGAGTTATTAGTAATTACTGATGAGAAGGTAGTAGCCAACTTCAATCACCATAACCTATTTAAGGAGTATAGTTGTGGGGGCTTTTTCTAAGAAGAAGGTAAATAAAATCTCAACCTAGTTATGTATAATTGAGATGTAATTGAAATAAAATTTAGCAGAAGTCAAAGAGAAAATAAAAGCAGTATGTTGCTAGAACTTACCTAATATGCACAGAATTCAACTGAGTTTTTGTTTTTATATTTCTTTCAATATGAAGAATAATAAACTACACATTTACAACATAATTTTATTACCTGTGTAGCCTTCTATAAACATGAGTATATTAGTAGAGTATATTTTTTCTGTTTAAAATTTTCTATGAATTATGAATTCTAGAAATTGAGTATGTTCATGATGGGCTTCTTTCTATCAATGTTATATATATATAAATCTATCTATCTATGTGTGTGTGTATATATATATATATATATATATATATATATATATATATATAGAGAGAGAGAGAGAGAGAGAGAGAGAGAGATACACTGTAGTGTGGACCAAAATGCATTCCTTTCCTTGCTGTGGTGTTTTTCTTCATACTTCTAACATACCACATAAACTTTATTTTTATCCATTCTACTATTGATGAACATTTTGGCTTTTAGTTAATTTGGGGTTTTATTTTTTGTTTTTACATGAGATTTTATTTTTCTTTAAAAAGTCCCTTTCTCAAGTGAAAAAAAAAAAAGTCCCTTTCTCAATTTATTTTAATCTCAATTCATTTTAAACTAACTCCTAATGTTTTGCTGTGAAGGGATAATATTTCTAACTTTTGTTTGTGACTTGCTTGTAGTTGACTGATGTCCAGGTTCCCCAGAGACTTTCACATGAACTATTATCTCACTTGAGCTTCACAATAACCCTGTGAAATGGGTGGGATGAGGCAAAGGGTGTGCTTTTATTTTTAGATGAGGAAGACATCGATCTGGTAGTTAGACTGGGGAGAGCTGGAAATAGAGCCCAGATCTCCTTGTGCTTTCTGTCATATTGTATGAGTGAATGGCATTTTTAATAACAGTAATTAACACCTGAGTATTGTTTAACAGTTGACATAGCATTGTGACAGTTATTATTTCGTTTAATCCTCATGTCCACCTACCAGTGAAAGAAGTGTATTAGTTTATTGCACTCTACCTAGATGTGCAAATGTTATCTCATTTATTGTTTCTAAAATCAAATTTAAGTGTGACTGTAGGTAATTTATCTCATTGGAATGGAAGAAATGAAATTGTTTTTTCCCAAGGATTCTACAGAGCAACAGCTTGAACACACAAAAAAGCCCATAATACAAATTTGCAGTGGACTGCTTTGCGGCATGTTGTTGTTATCTGCCGTCAAGTCACTAGCGACTCATAGTGACCCTATGTACAACAGCTCTGAACCCTGCTCTATCTTGAGCCAATTTAATTGTCTTCCACACAACTACCCCCCACTACCCCAGTCACCGAGTCCATCTGTCTCATCCAGGTCTTCCTCTCTTGCACTGTCCCTCTACCCTTCCAAGCATAGTGTCCCTTTCCAAGGACTGGTCTCTCCTAGCAACATGCCCAAAGTATATGAAACAGAGCCTCCTCAAAATCCTTGCCTCCAAGGAGAAACTTGGTGTCATTCTTGCTAAGATGGACCTGTTTATTCTGTTAGCAGCCCATGGCATATTCAGTACTCTTCTTTAGCACCACAACTCAAAGGCATTGATTCTTCATCCTTAGTCATTGTCCAGCTCTCTGATATATTAGCAGGTAATTGTGAAGACCATGGCTTGAATCAGGTGCACTTCAGTCTATAGACTGATATCATGGCTCTTAAGTACTCTGGAGAGGCCCCTGACAGCTGATTTTCCCAACGCAATTTAACTTTTTATTTTCTGGCTGCTGGTACAAAGAGTATTAATTGTGGAACCAAGCAAGCTGAAGCTGTTAATAATCTCAATCTCTTCTCTGTCTATTATGATGCTGCCAATCGGCCCAGTGGTGAGATTCTTTGTTTTCTTGATATTGAGCTTCAGTACTTATTGAAGGCTGCAGTCCTTCACCTTCTGCGGCAAATGCCTTGGGTCCTTTTCAGTTTCAGCAAGCAAGGTCATATCATCTGCATAACACAGGTGGTTGTTGTTTAGTCTTTCTCCAATCCTGATACCACCTTCCTTCTCATAAAGTCCAGCTTCCTGAATAATCTGTTCACATACAGATTGAAAAGGTCTGGAGGTAGGATGCATCCCTGGTGTACACTTTTTCTGATCTAGAACCATGACTCCTGGTCCAAGTTCAGGTTTTGCATGAGCACAATCAAGTGTTCTGGGATTCCCATTCTTCTCAAGGTTAGCCACAATTTGTTGTGATCCACACAGTCAATGCCTTTTGAATAGTCAATAAATTACAGATAAGCATTCCTCTGGTACTCTGTGCTTTCAGCTAAATCCCACCTTAACATTGGCTATAATATCCCTAGTGCCACAGCCTCTTTTAAACCAAGCTTTCACTTCTGGCAGTTCTCTGCTAATATGATACTGTTCCAGTTGTTTTTAGATAATTTTCAGTAAGCTCTTGCTTGCATGTGATATTAATGGTACTGTTCCATAATTTCCACATTCTTTAGGTCACTTTCTTTTGGAATGGGAATAAATACAGATCTCTTCCAGTCAGTTGGCAAGGTACTTGTTCTCCAGATTTCTTGGCACAAGATTTTGAGCACATCCAGGGTAGTTTCTGTTTATTGAAATATGTCAGTTGGTATGCCATCAATTCCTGTGGCTTTGGTTTTTGCCCTTTCCTTAAGAGCAATTTGAACAGTACATTGACAGAGAATTGCCAGTTGTGCAGGCTAGCTTTAGAAGGGACTGAAGCACTAAGGACATTTTAGCCAATGTCAAATGGCTGAAAGCAAAGAGTACTACAAGAATGTCTATCTGTGTTTCATTGACTATGCAGAGGCATTTGACTGTGTATATAACAACAAATTGTGGTTAACTCTTGAGAAGAATGGGAATCCCAGAACACTTGTGTGCATGAGAAACCTATACTTGGACCAGGAAGCAGTCGTCAGAACAGAGTTAGGAAAATGAAAACTGCGTGGTGGAAAATCAGGAAAGGTGTATGTCAAGGATGTGTCCTATCTCCATACCTTTTCTATCTTTATGGAGATCACATCATTCTCTGAGACTGGACTTTATGAGGTGGAATTTGGCATCAAGATTAGAGGAGGACTCATCAACATCTGTGTAATACAGATGATATGACCTTGCTTGCTGCAAAGGTGGAGGTCCTCTAGTGCTTATATTTTGTATTTATCTTTATATGTAGATCTACTTGCCATCAAGGAGGCTCAGACTTATGACAGTCTCATGTGATTAATAATGAAATTGTACTTCATAGAGTTTTCAGTGGTTGGTTTTCCAGAAATAGATCACCAGACTTTTCTTCTTAGATGCCTTTGTGTAGACTTGAACTTTCATCCCTTCAGTTAGCAGCCAGGCATGCTAACTGTACCACCCAGGTGTATAGAAACAATGGTAAATCACTTTTGAAACAGTACACAGTGTGGCTAAAATTTATAGGCAAGCTTTCAAAAGTTATACTGTTTAAAAAAGATATACTGCTTCCAAAGCATCATGCTTGAAAAGAATTATTCTTAATTAAACTGAGAATATCAAAAGGATTCCCTGTTTTGAATCAAAGTTTCATTTAACTACAGGGGCTCAAATCCCACGTACTCTTTATAAATTGTGCTCAGATTCCTCCCTCTTTTCTCCTCATGTGCTCTGATAAAAATATCTGCCTTTGCAGCATGGTTTTTAGCTCCTTTTAGACGTCCAAATATTAGAAGCCAGCCAGAACAGATTATCTGGGAGGCTGGCCTCTATGAGGAGGAATGTGGCATCAGGATTGGTGGAAGAGTCATCAACAAACTGCATTATGCAGATGACACAACCCTGCTTGCTGCAACAGGAGAACCTAAAGTGCTTGCTGCAGAAGGTCAAGGACTGCAGCCTTCAATATGGATTGAAGCTCAACATCAAGAAAACAAAGATTCTCACCATTGGACCAATTGGCAGCATTGGTATGGATAGTGAAGAGATTCAGATAGTTAACAGTTTTAGTTTGCTTGGCTCCACAATCAACACTCTTGGTAACAGCAGCCAGGAAATGAAGAGACAAATTGCATTGGGAAAGCCAGCTGTCAGGGACCTCTCAGGAGTACTGAAGAGCAACGATGTCAGTCTGGAGACTAAGGTGCGCCTGATCTAGGCTATAGTCTTCGCAATTACTTGCTATGCATCGGAGAGTTGAACAGTGAGTAGGGATGATAGAAAGAGAATTGATGCCTTTGAGTTGTGGTGCTGAAAAGTGTTGAATATGCCATGGACTGCTAGGAGAACAAACAGGTTTGTCCTGTAGAGGGTGAAGCCGGGGTGGCTCCTTAGAGTCAAGGATTCTGAAGCTTCATCTGACAGACTTTGGGCATGTTGCAAGGAGGGACCAGTCCTTGGAGAGGGACATCATGTTTGGGAGAGTGGAGGGATGGCATAGGAGAGGAAGACCCTCGATGAGATGGATCGATTCTGGGATTGGGGTGGTGGGAGTGAGTGTGTTGGAGACAGTGAGGTTGGCACAGGATAGAGCAGGGTTTAGGGCTCTTGTACATAGGGTTGCTGTGAGTCTCAAGTGACTCGATGGCACATAACAACAAGTGTCCTAGTTTGATTAATGCTACACTGTAATCCCAAAAGCATGCAGTTTGAATACAGCAACTGGTCCACAGTGGAAGGATGAGGAATCTTCTGCCATGTGATTTACTCTGTAGG